GGGATGGGGGGAGGGATGGGGCTGGGCAGCGGTACAACGTTGATTCCTGGAGCTGTGGGATGGGATTGAGCACTAGGATGGGATGGGGTTGGGGAATGGGATGGGATGGGGTTGGGGAATGGGATGGGATGGGGTTGGGGTCGGGCAATGGGATGGCACTGATTCCTAGAACTGTGGGACGGGAATGGGATTCAAGCACTGGGATGGGAGTGAGGATGGGGTTGGGATCAGGTGATGGGATGGGAATTGGGATGGGGATGGGATTTGGATCATACGCTGGGATGGGAATGGGGTTGAGATCAGACGATGGGATGGGGTTGGGTTTGGGGTTGGGCAATGGGATGGGATGGGTTTGGATCACTCAATGGAATGGGAGTGAGGATGGGATTGGGATCAGGTGATGGGATGGGATGGGGTTGGGCAGCGGGATGGGAATGGGGTTGGGATCAGGTGGTGGGATAGGATGGAGTTGGGGTTGGGCAGTGGGATGGGAATGGGGTTGGGACTGGGCAGTGGATGGGGATGGGGATCGTACAACGGATGGGGTTGGGGTTGGGATCAGGCGGTGCGACGGGACGGGGCTGGGCTCGCACCGGGGCCGTGGCGCGGCTCCCACCTTGGAGTAATCCAACTTGGTGGCGCTGGGGACGGAGTCGATGTGCGCCCGCACCAGCGAGGTGATGAGGCTGACGGGCGACGCGTCCGGCGGCTGCTTGGGTTTGGAGGGCAGGCGGCCGCGGCGGCCCTTCAGGCTGTCGGTCCGAACCACTGCGGGCGGGCGGGAGGCGCCGTGAGCCCCGCGTCCTCGGCCCCGCGTCCCCGCGCTGCGCCCTGCAGCCCGAGCCCGGTACCTTCTTTGACCATGCCCACGGCCAGGCACTTCTGGAAGCGGCAGAACTGGCAGCGGTTCCTGCGCCTCTTGTCCACGGGGCAGTCCTTGTTGGCCAGGCAGATGTACTTGGCGTTCTTCTGCACCGTGCGCTGCGGGGGGACGGGGGGGGGAAGGACAAAAGGGTTTCTGTCTGCTGCCGCCGCTCTGCGCCGGGCGCTCGTGCGGGGCTGATGGCACCGGGGGGACGCGGAGGGGACGACGGAGGTGGGGACGGCGGGGCTGAGAGCGCCGGGGTCGGGAGCGCTGGAGGTGGGGACGGCGGGACCGGGGAGTCCGGAGCTGGGAGTGGGGGGAATGGGGACACTGGAATGGGGGTCACCAGGGCTGGGGGTCGCTTGAGTTGGGGACGTTGGTGCTGAGGGCACCCGAGTGGGATGACGGGGAGCTGGGGTCGGATGTGAGAGCGGGGCCGCCAGGGCTGGGGATGGCGATGGGGCCGCTGGAATTGGGGCCGCCAGGAACTGGGGTCACTGGAGCCGGGGGGACAGCGAGGCTGGGTCCGTCAGAGCAGGGAGGGACATCAGATCTGGGAACTGGGGACACCAGAAAGGGGCCATTGGGGCTGAGGACCCCGGCGATGGGGACATCAGAATTGAGCCACCGGGGCTGAGGACCGTCCCTG